CTTCCCCTCTCACATATAATTGTGAACATTTATATTTTGCTTGCTATCTCACTGACAGCCAGCAGGCTGTGCTAAGAGATCAGTTTTCTCTATCAGAAAAAATGCTGAGAACTATTTTCCCAAAGGCACTGCAGAGAGACCCTGCATGTCTGCCAGAGAAAAGCACCTGTCTGCCCAGGATTGAGAAGAGGAAAGATGTACATTTCCACATCAAAATAAAAGAGCAGCTTGTTACCATGCACATTATTCCATGTGCTATCAGAGTTTGTATCACACAATTTTATATACCTCTAGTAGCAACAACTAAAATATTTCTTGAAAACAAAATGATAATATAGGTATTTTCCCCTTGATAGCCAGCAGTAAGTACTTACCTACTTCCAGCCTATGATAACGTCAGAAGAATTACAACCCCTTTCCAAAAAATGAAATAATCAAACACGACAATTGAGAAGCCAGGAATGGAATGAGATGGCCATGTCCTATCTTTGTCACTGGTAAACATCTCATCTTCAATCCCACTGAGAAAGTCTGAATGCCAAGGAAAACCCAGTATTTTTATTTTTATTTTTAAGCTGATATAAAACAAGTACCTGAATCACAATGAGAAATTTTATTTCTCTTTTTATAGAACTTCAGAAACTATTACATATTTTGCGCTACAACAAGAAGTTTCTCTCACTTGCCTGCATATCAGAATTCCTCTCATATCAGAATTCCTGCAGCAAGTAAGCAAGGAAAGATCCTAAGGAAACAGTGCTACTTTTTGTAGGATTTTGGCTTACATATCCAGAAATAAAAGAGGTAGCAGAAACACTTGGTTCTGTGTGAAGCAGGGAAAGTAAAAGCACAGGCTGAGATCAGATTAAATCTCGCTTGGAATTTGGTGCCTCATGTTGTTTTCACAACCACATGTTGCAAAGTAAAAGAAAAACAAAATCATCACTTGGTGAAAGTAAAGCTTTGTGGGATGCAGCATCAAGACAATGCTCTCCTTCTATGAGGAAGAGATCCCCTTCTTTTCTCCCACTTATTCAGCTCCCTCTTCCTTCTTTGCCTGCCCACACAATATATCTTCCTCCCTTGTAACAGCTCTGGCAGCTACTGAACTTCTCTATAAGCCAATGTTACTCAGTATTGCCATAGAAAGTTATCCATCTTGTTGGGTCTGTTCCTTGCTGCCTGACACTACTGAGCTAACAGAGGTGCTAAGAAATGAGCAGAGCAACATGAGGCAACAAGTGGGAGCATGTAGGATGCTGGGGGAAGAGAGGGTGCACTTCTTTATGTGCAGCTGTAGAGATGAGCTCACTTCATAGGAAACACCCCACTGTGGTGCTCTGTCTGCTTGGCCTGGACAGCTAAACTGAAACTTTTTACAAAGATCCCAATTCCTTCTTAATTGAAACTGGCTGCACTGAGAGTTGAAAAAATCCAACCATGCCTCACACCTTTCAGAAGAAAGCATAAAGCATGAGGTATCCTTCCTTAGTGGTAGCTACAGCAAGCAATGAAAGAGAATTAGCTAATTTAAAAACAGAACTCCCAAAACTGCATTGCCAGACTGTGGAAAGCGTTTCTCACTCAAACCACTCCTTGATTCTTCCTGGCTCCAAATTACTCAGTTTACTATTAATAATAGTCCCAAGAAGAATTAACTTGTTTTTAGGAACCAGCAGGTCCTATCTCATTACGTAGCAGCAAATTGAAAAAATCTGCAGTGAAAAGAAAATATGATAAGCAAAATACTCCTTCGTTTCAACTTTAATTGACAAGTGCAAACATAAGGCTCTCGTTCCCCAAGCTGTGAGCATCGCTACATTAAAATCAAGTCACACATGTGGGCAACAAGCAGGGAAAAGGCAGTGCTGAGTTCAAACACTGTGCCTTGAGTTTGCAACTAGTGAATCAAATAGATTTAGAAGATAGAGTATTAAATTAGTACCTGCCTACTGTTGCAGTACTACCCTCTCCCTGCATAGTTGATATCCTTGAGGATATTCCTTTAGGTATGGCCATCCCTGTCTACACAGAGTTTAACAGAGTAGGCTCATCAATTCCTCTTTTTAGCTGTTCCTCAACACTGAAAGCTTTACACGACAGCACTGCCATTATTACGCACACGTGGCATTTCATCAGGAGAGTAATTATGCTAAGCATTCAGGAGTAAAGTACCTAAATATTTCCTGGATTGGCATTAGTCTGCTTTCACATGATAGTGAAATGTTTTCCAATCTTCTTTTCTTTATATTAAGGTTGGATAAGTAAAACAGTCATAAGCAACTTCAAGATCCAGAATAATGTGTGCAGGTCCTAAGGCATCTAGGACCCAGGGAGCACTAAAATTCATACAATTCCTAAGGTACGATCTAATCATATAAGCAGTATGCCCTTTAGAAATGCAACAAACCTACATTCTCAAAATGAACCTTATATGTACCAGATGGGATGGATAAGCCCCCTGACACTGTGGTAGCTAGAACGGTTTCCCAAGGAAATGAATTTTCAGTGTTAAAGGCTGAGTAACATGAAATCAGTCATTTCATGGTAATGCATTAAAGATGATGAACTTTCAAGGAATTACATGCATATTCTATTTTTCAGTTTCTGCCAGCTCATAAGCCACTTCCCTAGATTTTTACCACAAAGAAATAAAATAGAAAAACAATAATTTTTCCAGAGCTGACAGATTTTGCATCTTTACTCACAGCAAATTTCAATTCAACATTCAGTACTCTCTTTAACACCCTATCAACCTTTTCTTCCATATTGGATTGCCTAGCTTTTGGCAAGTTTAGTTCCTGTCACTCTTATGCACAGAAACAAGAATTTCATAGATCATAGCTGAGAGAATTTTGGTCCTGTTTGCCACCTCAATTTTTATTTCATTTAGTAGAGGACCTAGTTCTTGAAAAAGAAAGAACATGGAAGCTTGGAGCAGATCAAAATAGGATAAGCCAAATGTTCAAGGAATGCAGAATGACATCTTAAAATGTCTGCTGCTTCAAAATGTCTCACATGAAACAGGAAATACCATTCTGGCACTTTTACTACAAGAAAACCACTTCGGTTTCCTGCTAACAGAAAGGCATTTCTTACATAAATAAGGCTAGCAAGGCTCTCATTGCAATTAGTCACTCCTGTGTCACCAAAATATATAGGGAGGTAGGAAGGGGAAATTTCCACCACAGCTCAAGAATTTTCCTTACACGGATTTCCTTGATACTTCAAGAGACAGAAAATACAAGTTTTTATATTAAGTTTGTAGGAGACAACTAAGCTCACAGGCTTCCATATGAGAAACAGCATGCTTATACTTTTTTTTTTTTTTTCTAGTGAAAACTGATTTAAAATTACCACGTTCTACACAGTTTTAAGCCAAATATCACCTTTTTTCCCCCCGCATTCCTACTGACATAAAGCAATTTTTTTTCCCATATGAACGTTTCCTCCAAAAAGAAAATTATCTCCAGAAAAGGAGGTTATAGTACATAATTTATTCCTGTTTCCACTGCAACTCAGTATTGAGTAAATCACCAGAATTATATGCAGAAACAATTCTCAAACCCAGCATGACACTTTTCCTATCTTAGGCAAAGAAATGTGATCTCAACTCACTCCGGTAGCTCATGAGATCTACAGCCTCAAAACAGAGAGATTTGATTTCCAGAAAAGCTACCAGAAACAGACGTAACACCTCCCCACAGTATGAGTCAGTAATGCAGTCCTTCCAAATTGAGACCAACCAAATTTATGCTCAGGTACCAGTTATCCTAAATATGACTGAGCAGAGCAAACAGTTGTCCAAGCTTCTCCTGCTGACAATGGCTCCCTGTCACGTCCACAAGTTACAGCCGTTGTCCCATGTATTGTTCTTCTCCATCTGTGTCTCTCACATGGCTGAATGGATGAATTGATTGATGAATCCAGGTGAGAAATGTTGCGTTAATTAATAATGCTAGAAATTTAATCCCATTTTATTAATATTTTCACTTCTTATTTCCCATGCTTTCCATTTGTTTGGGGTCTAAAAAGCAGCTGAAGAGAATGGAGAGAACACTGCACTTGCATAAAACCCATATATTTTTCTTGAACACACAGGAATTCTCTAAAATAATATCTGAATTAGAAGTAACCCTGATCAATAAATTTCTGCTCTTTTCTAAGAGGGTGATATAACCCATCCTGAGATTTCCAAAAACTCAGTAGCTCAACAATAATTACCTACTAACCAATGGAAAGAGAGTAATTTAAAGTTATTTTAGGCTATTTTAACAAAATCAAAAAAAAAATAGTAGAATTCAGGCAGTCTGAGGACATTTGTCTCTGCATTTAAGAAACCTGTTTTGCATATCATGGTATAAACTGTGTGAAAAACGTTGTATAGGCTCCCTACTTCTTTCTGTAGTGTGATTCAGACCTACTTCAGCAAATGGAGTTGGCTAGGAATTTATGCAGAACTGCAGGGCACTGACTAGTGCAGTCAGCAACAGAGCAGTTAAGCATGTCTTTGTTCATAATATCTAACTATTGAAGATGCTTTTGAAAAGAAATTGCATTACATGCCTTGCTTCTGCATGGTCAGAAATTATCACTTATAAGATGGTTTCCTAGTAGTATCAGTTTTTGAATAACCTCAGGTTTTTACCTGCTTCCCCATTTAGTCATTGCTACCCACTACCAGGTATCATCTAACTTCTAATCCCCACCAGCAAATTAACTAACTCCAGTTATTAAGTCCTATGCCAACATTGTTCCTGACCCTCACATTCCTAAAACCTTTTATAATTGAGGCAATGATGCAATCCCGAGAGCAGCTCTGCATTCAACCAGCTACCATCTGCTCAAGTATCCTTCTCCAGTAATGTCTATATCAAAGGAAATCTGCTGACTGTTAACATTGCAACATTAACAATTGGAATTACTGCTTAGTAGGCGGAAAATGTTTCATGTTATTACTATTTGTTTTCTTGATCAAGATACAATAAAATATATCTCTGATAAGAACAGGTGAATATGCTGTATTTTGCTTTAAAAGATAAACCCCATAAAAACTAACGACAGTATCTTTACAAGATAGCAAACAGAAGAGCAGATTCCCACAGTATTTGTAGTGGCATCATTTGGAGTATGATGGGTTAATTCTTGCTTTTCAAAACTCTGAAAAGTTCCTCCTACTTGCATTAATGCTGAATATGGAAAAGCAAAAAACAAACCCTTGCCTTAAAATACACAGATTTTCTTCATCTGAATCACAAAGCTAGGTTGAAAACAGAATAGGCAATTACAGAAGAAGTATCAAGGTACTCTCCATTCAAGAGCCCTTGAATGATTTATACTGGAACAAAGAGGCATTTCAAGTCAACATGCAAGCACTCTCACCTAAGTGAGTCTGGTCCATGTCATCCTATCAAGATTAGGAAATTCAGCATATATAAATATATAAATAAAACATATATACAGTACATAGTCACATTCATATAAGCCATAAAATGACATATATTTACAAAAACATTTGCAGCTATGCTTTATGTTTTCAGTTCCACTTAAATCAGGAATTTAAGTTTTTTGCTTCTGCCTTGGAGACTTGATCACCTTGCTTGATTTGAGAGTTTGGAATGAACTTATACCCTATCTACTCATGCTTCTTTAAAATATGGAAGAAGCAAGTAGCCTTCCAGGAAATTCTGCCAAATCCATAAGAGAAGTTGAAATACGTTGAGATATTATTTACCTCACTGAAGAGTGATTTACATGTAACCAAACACAGAGAGACCTTCTGTTCTTGAAGAATGGCAGTACTTTGTTCTGGTCCATAAATAAATGTCAGTGTCATACAACATTAGGCATTACAAAACTGGGTGTCTGAGAGGGTGTGTAGTAAAAATTTATGCATAATTTCTACTCATTTTTTCTTGGTTTAGACTGGTAGAGCAGTCAAAGTGAATGAACGTAGAGATGAAAAAAATATATAAATTTTGAGTTACCATACAGGGTCAAAAAGTAGATAGAAGATTACGTACTGTTGGCATTGTTGTAGCTTCTTTTATCAATAAGTTCAATGATTAATACAACCCCAATGATCTGACATTTATATAGTCCATATTATACAGCACTGTGACTTCCAGGAATTGCACATATACCACTTCTCCTAGTATGGAAAAATATTTGTTCACTGCTTCATAAAACATTCTTCTTAACCCAAATTCAAGCATCCTTTTTTTGATTTAGAGGAATTTACAAAAGGAAATAAAGTTTTGGAGGAGGGGCTGTTTAACTTATGAAGAACACTTGACAAAAAAATCAACCTCACAATGCAGCAGTTTAAAGTGTCTGTATGTGAAGACTCTTGGGGAAAAAAATCTTGCAGTCAACTGTCAATCCATGGCTTCATATAGCACTTTCAGTGACAGGCAGTGGAGTTGTCTCTTGCTCCTCACTGTTCTCCGTAGACACATCCTGGACCTCCTGCTGCTGATAGATGTCTTGAACTAGCATGATGTTTGTGTTCCTCCACTCTCTGTATTTCATCGCCGTCAACTTTGGGTCCTCTAACAACTGGTTAATTGTAGCCAAGTCATGTTCCTTACACTAGGAAGAGATCAAGAGGTTATTTCTCATAAACGCTGTCAAGATCACCATCCATAACAAATCACCCTTGGAACATTACAGAACCATGTCACAGGGAGATGGCCAATGATCCATTCTCTTGGCAACTTGTTCTCATTTTTATTATCAAGGTTATTGAAGTCAAGTCCGCAGCAAGAATTCCTCCTGGTTGAAGGAGAGATTATGATTTCATGCAGTTGTTTTGTTTTGCTTTGCTTTTATAGGATTCTTAGCAAAACTTTATGAATGAAAAGTTGAGAAAATTAAACACTGGTTAATTAATTCATATGCTGGCAGTGTAGCCTTTAAGTAGTTAGTGTATATGTGGGTGCTAATACATTGGTCACCGGATCTTAACAAATCTGGCCTCTACTTCCAGACAGGAGCAGACTGTATAATGTGAATACCCTGGTTCAGTTGAAAAACAGGGGCTGTCATGTCATGATACAGGGAGGCTAAGAGACTTGATGTCACAGAATCACAGAATGGTTGTGGTTGGCAGAGATCATTTGGTTCAACTCCTACTCAAGCAGGGTTGCCCAGAGCAGGGTGCCTAGAACCACGTTCAGGCAGCTTTTGAATAACTTCAGAGATGGAAAGTCTACCAACAATACAGGTAACCTGTGCCAGTGCTGTTACCCAAAATACACTTACGTTCACATGGAACTTCCTGTGATTCCTTTTATGTCCACTGTCCATTGTCCTCTCACTGTGTACCACTGAAAATAGTCTAGTTCTGTCCTCTTTTCACATTTTTTTCTTCTCTATTGCCAAGTGTTTCATCATACCTGAGAAAACTATGCCTACAATTGGCTTCAAAACTCCTTGTCAACACACACATATTCAGAATACTTCCTGACTGTAGCAATAGGCTGCCATCACATCCATATCCCACTGCTATTCTAATCAACAATTATAACACCTCTGAACTTTTCAAGCAGAAAAAATTATTAAACTGTTGGTTTACATTGGTCCTATTTTCAAAACCAATCCTTGTATGAGAGCATCTGGCATCAGTGTGTAGATACACTGGTAGCCTAAGAGCTAAAGAATAAATAAGGAAAAAGAAGGGAGGAGTGTTTACGATGCACAGACATGATGGCAAAAAGCCATACTGCAGATTTTTTCTGCAGCACTAAATCTATTTTCCCACATTCATTAAGATTGTGACGCATTTGCACACAGCTTCTTTCTCTTCTTAACAACCCAAAGTATGTCTTGTTAATGATATATCATGGCAGGAACATTTATCTGTCGTTAAAAAAAATTGTGTCAAAAGACAAAAATTAAGATTACACTGAATGTTGCATTAATCTTTTGCCTTAAAACTAAGAGGTTTCTGTCTAAAGCACTGTAAATATTGATCAGATGCAAAGCTTCTCTGATCCTGAAATTTCCAGTGGATCTTTTCAAATTATCTCATGCCTCACATTTTATGTTAATATGATTGCCTTTAAAAGCACATCATCCTACTGATGCAAAGAATATAGCACATTCCCACTACAAGCATTTTCTTTTCAGACAGGCAAAGACTGCTGTGCATAGAACTCTGTTTGTGTCTGTCAGACACTGCACTATATTTGTCTTGTCAATACTCCAATCCCTTAACTTGAAGAAAGAAAAGAAATCAACACATTTTATGCATTGTGAACAGTCCAAAAATGATTTTTCCATACTAAATACAAATGTTAGACAAGTCTAAGTTTGTAGGCACTGCTAATGACAGTTTATACGATACTCCTGGGTTAAATTGTTGTAAAGCTATTCTTCTTGCTCATGTCTGACGGAAAGGCTTCTAGGTTTGCATTCAGATCCAAACTAATAAAATAGATTACTGCACAGCATACAACTCCATTGTGTACTAACTGGTTCTTATATTTATTAGGGAGGTTCATATTAGGGAAAGATTTAGATACATGCTTCCATATTTGTTTTCCTGTGTCATAAAATAGGTGTGTTTTTTAAACTTTCTGTTTTATAATAAGCTGAACTGCATTCCTGATGCAGAAGGATAATATGGTTATACCATGTCATAAGAGACCCATTTATCCTGAGGAGAAACTTCACTAGGTCTCATACGGAGCCTGGAAGTCCTGAAGAAGGCAGGACAGCTGCACTCCAATTTGACTTTTAGACTGTGTTTTCAGAAAATTTAAGACAAGCCTGGTTGCCAAAGCCAAGCCTCTTGTTGCAAGTAATCACTGATTGTGATGATCAGAGAAGTTTTTAAATGAACTTCTTTGGGGTGCTATGACTGAAGCCAAATACTCTTACCAAAAATATGATAATCGAATCCTGTTTCTAGCAAAGCCCTTGGTTGGCATTTATTCTTTCTCTTTAGAACTTAAATGTTATGGCTATGCTTTCTGTTTGATTGAATACCATTCATAAGCAGGTTTTGAATTCCCATGGCATTCAAAATGATACTGGGTAAGCAGTCTCGTAAATCTTCATATTCCAGACAAATTTACTGGCCTTTTCATGGATTGTTCCCCTAATCCCTCCACCCCTTCAGTCCACAGTACGTTTGCAACATAAAAGCAGAATGCTTTTGTTATTAAACATATTTGCTATAGGAGGTCTTTACAAAGGCTTTGGCACATCCTGTACATTCCCTAGTAATCACAAAGAAATCTTTTCTGGCTCATGGTCATTTTTGTGTCCATCATCAAGGTACTTTTTCTGCTCTTCCTTTTTTAAGGCTCCCTTGTTTATGGCATTCAGCTGAGCTTGCAGGTTTCCCAGCTAACTAAGAGAGATGTTCTTTATTAAATTCTCCAAATGGGCTGGAATTTATACAAAAAGGTCCCTTCTGAACTATTGCCTCCGCTTCAAGATCAAGTTTAACAACAAAACACAGACCACAATTCTGACTAAAAGAGGAAACAATTTCAGAAACTTAACAAACTCTCTGGAGCTTAAAGTTAGTCCGTAATTAGAGTTTGGCTTTATTCTTTTCTCAGCCAAACTATTTCTTTCTCTCAGGCTTTTCCTTGGCTCAATCTGTAATCTCACCTTTAGTGTGCTGTTCAGCATTCGAATTTTGTGGAGTTTCTCATTAATAGAGGGGTTTTTGCTGCGTTTGATAAATGACTTCCTAAGCTCCTTCTTGGTTGACAGCCGGCGATCACCAATGGGAGACAGACTTGCTTGTTCTAATGACTTGTAAAGTCTCTCCATCTCATCATCATCACATTTTTCATGATCTGCAAAGCAAAAAATAAAGTGTGTATGAGAATATGAATATGGCAGCAGATAACAGAAACATTATGTTCAGCAATTAGAAAGACTCAGCCAATTCAAAAAGTAATGGTACTATAATCAAAACCAAGGGCAGTTCTTAGGGTAATCATGCAGATGAGAATGACATACAGCCCAACTCATATATTTTTAACAATCAGGTTATGATTCATACAGATATGAGCATATGTTTTCACTGTTCAAGTGTTTCTTTAATGCTCTATACATACCACTGACTGAATAACTGTCAGTAGTGCTACACTCAAATAGCAAGCTAATTTGATAGCATCCACACTGATTTACCTTTCCCTTTCATGCTGCACACAGTTAAGCACAATTCTAGCTAATATACATGCCAGATTCTGTTTGGTGCACCAACTTCTTGTCAGGTATTGATAATTCTTGAAAACACAGCAAAGAAATGAGACATAGAAATATGTCAGAGGCTACAAGGGAAGATACCTAGGAAACAGATTAAAACAGGACACCTTGGGTCACCGAATGCCTAAATCTCAAGCTTCACAGTGCACAGCACAAAATTTGCTTGTGGTGCCTCAGAGTAAAGCCTTAATTACCCCTTGCTCAATTGCTTTGACAGTTCTGAAGCTGCAGCATCATCTTCCATGTCAGACAGGACACAAAAGGAAAAGTTAGCAAGCAGCTGAGGACAGAAGAGGATAAAATAAGATTTAACAAAATGAAGCAAAGACCTTTTTTTCAGAATAAAACAACTTAAGAATGAACAAGCAGGAGCTCAAAATGTGCCAAGCACTGACTGAGGCTTTTGACAGAAGGCCATTTTCAGCAAAAAGCTGTACAACTTCTTTCTCAGAGCACACTGAAATTTTTTCTATTCCAATATTTGCTAAAGGAAAATCTTAATGTTATTGGTGTTCTCAGGATGCCAGTGAGTCCCTCAAGAGCCACTGGGATGATTTTCATGTTTATTACACTGGAGACAGTGGTTTCAGCTCTTCTTAAATGCAGCCCTCCATGTGCCAGCTGAACTGGCAGCATGTTTTTTCTTTTAATTGAAAGTTAAACATTGACTTTTCTAAATCATCCTTAGTCAGCAAACATAAGGAAAATGTGCTCTTGCTCCCTCCTATTGCAGCAAAAAGACTTCTCCAGCTTCCAGTGCACTCAGAAAGGAGTCTGCTCCTTATCTTTTCCATATTTTAAAAAGTACAGCATCCTCCTACATTCCTCTCTTTTCTAAATATTTAGGTTACAAGAAAGGTTTATGACATGCTACAAATATTTGCCTTCACTCTGTTGCTGGCCTTTTTTTCACCGCTTTGTGATT